AATTTTTTTCTTTAAAAGATTTAATTTCTATAGTGTTTCTTCGCATGGTTTTTTTTTGTTTTTGTTTTTTTATGATTTTGTTTGAAATTATTTTTTTTATTTTATTTTTTAATATTGAGTTAGTTAAAAATTACAGTTACAATATATGAGGAAAACAATGTAACTTTCCTTGTAAATTATTGTGGATTGCAATAATATTTTTTTACATATGATTTTTTTCTGTTTTGTTATGTTTTTTCCTAAAATTATCTTTTTCAATTTTATTTTAATAATGTTTTTTTACATATGATTTTTTTCTATTTTGTTATGTTTTTTTCTAAAATTATCTTTTTCAATTTTATTTTTTAAATACTAAGCTGATTAAGAATTGCAATTACAAGTAAATACAAGTTTTTTTTCCAGAAAACACTATGGATTGATATAGTTTTTCCTCATATAATTTTTTTTATTTTCTTTTGTGTTTCCTTTTTTTGTAATATTTTTTTTTAAATTATCTTCGTCAATTTTATTTTTTTAATATTAAGCTGGTTAGAATTTAACTTTTTAATAAAGTTTAATCATGTGTGGGAAAGCACTTTAACTTTCCTCACAAAACATTATCGAGAATTACAATTATAAGTCATTATAAATAAGACTAAATCATCAGGGGAAGCACTATAGCTTTCATCACAAAACACTGTGAATTGCTACAATGTTTTCAACATGATTTTTTTTTCATTTTTTTGTGTTTTTTTTGTATTTCTTTTCTAAATTTGTTTCTGACGATTTGATTTTTTAATATTAAGCTGATTGAGAATTTAACTTTATAATTTTTTCTTTAAAACACTATGAATTGTTGCAATTTTTTCCCATATGATTTTTTTCAAAATTATCTTTGTCATTGTTTTTTAATATTGAGTTAGTTAAGAATTATAATTACAATAAAATTAAATCATGTGGGGAAAGCGCTATAGTTTTTCTCACAAAACACTATAGATTGCTACAATATTTCTCTAAATAGTTTTTTATCTTATTTTATTGGGGAAAACATTGTAGTTTTCCTCATAAAATACTGTTAATTGTTGCAATGTTTTTCCTCATGAATGTTTTTCCCTTCCAAAATTATCTTTGTTGGTTTTTTTTAATATTAAATTGGTAGAAAATTTAACTTTGTAATTTTTTTTGCTTTTTATTAATAGAAAAAGTTAAATCATGTAGCGAAAGCATTGTATCTTTCCTTTCAAAACACTGTGGATTGCTACAAATCATTTTGTTCAGTTTCTAAGTTTTTTTTACTACCAACATAACTTCATTTTCTGTCATGAAATATTAGCTTCATTTTATCTTTAGTTTTTATTATTTATCTAACGCTGGTTCACAATTATAATATTATCAAATATATTTGTTTTATAACCTCGCGGCAGCACGCAGGCATGCCATCTCATACATATCTAATAAAAAATGGTTTTTGTTATATTTATTATTTAGTTTGTTAATTTGATATTTAATTTAGTTAATAATTCTAGAGAGTTAAAAGTTTTTCAATTTAATAAAATTTGAGTTGAGTTTTCTTTATATAAAAACTATATCCAAAATTTTATCCCACTTAAAAAAAACTTGTAAAGAACCACAATAACTAAACTCAATAAATTCTCACATTTTATAATCACAATTAAGTCTAAAAATATAAATAAAAAAATATTTATACATATAAGATTAATCTCAAATACTTCAATAATATAATTTTTTAGTGATTGAAATCTCAATTTTTAAGGTGTTTGTAAGGAGGAAATAACAAGTATTTAATGGGGTTTTTAGAAAGATAAGGGTTGAGATAGCGTTGGTTTGGAAAGAGAGAGAGGGTTGCTGTGTTTATTTGTTTTTTAACATGAAAAAATATTTAAATTTCACAATATTTTACTTGTTTGAAGCGTAACAAGAAAAAAATATGTAATTTTACTAAATTAATTTTTAAACGGTTTTGTCCAGCCAAAACTCTTAAATTACTGTGCTAACTTAAAAAAATAAAAAATTATCTGAATTAAATGGTATCAAAAGCAAACAAAAGTTAAAACAACACACAACTTTAGGAACTGAAAAAATAATGAAATAGATTCAAAACCACCTTGTAATGTCTCACTTTTTGTTGGCCGTCCAGAGAGACTTGTGAGAGGTGACAAACATGACAGCCATGCAAGAAAAGAGCTCCAATCCTCATTGGGGCGACCGGCCCCCCCACAAAAGGTGTTGCTTTCTTCAAGGCCGGCAATGCAAAGCAAATTGTAGAGAAGTCATTGGTCCATTCCAAATTTTTCATTTCATACCTAACGATAAAATTCAATGCAGGTTGTCGCGCAGCTCCTCCCAGCGTCCCTTTCTTTCATCCTCACCGAATTCCATTGGATTCTTTAATTTATGATAAACAACTCCCCCTTTCATCTACACAGTACTAATCTTTGGTGATGTTGATTTACGAAGCTGAATTATATTATATTATATTTTTACTTGTGTACACAGGCGCTAGCTTCTTCTTTTTCTCCCCTCTGTTGAATAGGAATAGGCTCACTTGCTACGCCAAAGCCAAACTTAAGGAGTTAACAGCTTTAACTTTGTGATCAATAGCATCTGCCAAACCGGCTTCCTCGTTTCCTATCATTGATTTTCAACGTGGCCTCATAAGCCATGCACTCCTTTTCTGTTGGCAGTTGAGCTCCTTTTAACTTTTGTGTAGTCAATACTCTTGTCGCTTTCTCTCGCGGCTCAGTTTTTGATGGAACAAAAAAACAAAAAAAAACCCATCATCATGTCATTAGATCCTAAGATATCTATTTATTCAACATATAGTTTAGAGAATTAGGAACCACCGTATTTATGCTTTGCCATTAGCCTCCAACGTCTGTTTAACCCTTGGCCATATCGTTCCCTTCAGCTGAGATCCTTCAAGAAGCAATGGAAGGCATGAATGACTGGCTCTCCTTCTCCATGCACGAGAGTCTCAACCATGACCTTGCCATTAGAAGGTTTTGTCCTGCTAGAATGGAACTGGAACAAGGAGAAGAGTGCTGGGAGGAGATCACATTCAGTGAGATTGAACTTCTTTCTCCTGATGATGACAGCACTAGCCCTCCTCACATGGCTGATTCTGAGGTGGATGAATTGGTTGATAGCTTTATTAACTTGGATCAAGACGGTGAAAAGGATGACAAGTCCTTTAAGAAGAACCAGGATTTCAATCACCTCCAAGATGATCATATAGAGGCATTTTCCATGGTGAATGATGTTTTTCAAGACGTTCCAAAGATGAATGTAGGAAGTGATGAATTGGAGATGAGCAGCTCTTTCGAAGGTCTTGAAGCTGTTTCTGATATGGAGCCTAGAGTGGAAGAGATGATTCAGGGTGTAGATCAAGGCCTTCATTTGGTACACTTGTTGTTGGCCTGTGCTGAGGCTCTGGGCTGCAGAGACACACGGCTAGCAGAAACAATGCTTAGCCAAATTTGGCCTTCAGTTAGTCCATGGGGTGATTCTTTGCAGAGGGTTTCTTATTGCTTCGCTATGGGATTGAAAAGTAGATTATCACATCTTAATAATGTGAATGCACATGGGACATTCACAATTGGGGGTGCTATGGATAGATCATTGATCGTTAGGGCAGAGAAAATGGAAGCTTTTCAACTTCTTCATCAAGCAACTCCGTATATCGCTTTTGGTTTCATGGCTGCAAATGAAGCTATATGTCAGGCAGCACAAGAAAAGGACTCTTTGCATATCATTGATCTAGGAATGGAGCACGCCCTTCAGTGGCCTTCTTTGATGAGAACTCTAGCTTCAAGGCCTGAAGGCCCTCCGAAACTCCGAATCACAGGATTGATAGATGGTCATAATCTGTTAGAGCATGAAGCTAGCATGAAAGAACTTGCCGAGGAAGCTAGCTCATTAGGCATCCGTTTGGAATTTAACTTGGTTTCAGAGCCAGTTTCGCCATCGCTTTTAACCACTGAGAATCTTAGCTTGAGAGAAGGGGAGGCATTATTTGTGAATAGCATAATGCACTTGCACAAGTTTGTGAAAGAGAGTAGAGGCTCTCTCAAGGCAATCCTCCAAGCAATAAAGAATTTAAATCCGACATTGCTTACCGTGGTAGAACAAGACGCAAACCACAATGGTCCCTTCTTTCTTGGAAGATTTATTGAATCTCTTCATTACTACTCTGCCATTTTTGATTCCCTTGAAGCTAGTCTTCCGAGAAATAGCCCACAGAGGATAAAGATGGAAAAGGTTCAATTTTCTACGGAGATTTGCAATATCATAGCTTATGAAGGTTCTAACAGGATTGAGAGACATGAAAGAGCAGATCAATGGAGAAGGCAATTATCCCGAGCAGGGTTTCAAGTAATGGGGTTGAAATGCATGAGCCAAGCTAGAATGATGCTCTCTGTTTATGGCATTGATGGTTACACTTTAGCCACCGAAAAGGGTTGTCTCCTCCTTGGATGGAAAGGCCGGCCTATCATGCTAGCATCTGCATGGCAAGTGCACAACCTTTCTTCCTCCTAATGCCTGCCGAGGTTTTGCTGCTTTATATAGTATTAACATTTAGATAATAAAGCGGATTTGCTGCTTTAATGATGTCCAGATATTCATTTAGATAATAAAGTGGATTTGCTGCTTTAATGATGATCCAGATATTCCCGAAACGATTCAGCCCATTTTTCTCACAGAAGTTTTGCATTTTCTTGAATTGTGTTATCATTGCAATACGGATCATTCTAGTTCACATTTTTAGATGGTGACTGGTACCTTCGAGTCAAGACTCAGGATTGATTAGGTGATAGTGTAAATCTACAGCAGCTCGTATATTGGAACCTTATAAATTACAGATGCTGTTTCTTCACAAATAAATGACTGCTCTTTCATGAGCTTCTAACATTCTGGTTTCATTGGATCCATGCGGGGAAGTACAGAGCCTATCAGTCAGAGCAAGCAACCAACGGTAACAACCCATTTGAGACGCAAAGACGGGAAAAAACCTTGGAATTCCTTTTCTGAGTATAGAATTCAATGACTATGTAACAGTCTGGAATAGCTGAAATAAAACAATACTCATCACATTACTGTAAGAGAATCTACTCCCATCTCAAAAACATTATGGAAGCCGATTTCTCCTTTCTAACACGATACAAGTCTCTCTATTGAGCGTAGACTTCAAGGAATCGATTTAGGATGACACAAATCAGGGGAAGGCGATAACTAGAAATTGTGAAACCACTACTTTGATGCCTTGTTTCCGTGTCCTTTGCCTTGGCTAGCAGCTGCTGACATTATGCGCAAACGACTGGCAATTTCTGTGAAGGAAGGCCTAACTCCAGGATTTGGGGCCCAGCACTGCTCCATTAGTATTCCCCATTCAGAATCACAATAACTTGGAATAGTTGGTCTCAGCGTGTTGTTTACAATCCCCCCTACACACCAGGATAGATACTCACATAAATGTCGACAGCATAGACTATAAATGCAACTGACATCAACTGTACACGACATGACAGAGGAGTAGATTTAATGTACAATTGCAGCAAATAATGTAAATAGTTATTCTGATTTCCAGAGGTTAGTTTGAAATCTAGAAGTGAAATTAGCCCATTGGCATCGAACCTTCAAAGTCTTGATACCATTACGGAACTATACTCAATTCAGAACAGGAAACACGAGTCTATTATTACAGAATAAAAAAAAAAAACCCCAACATCGACTGATTTTTCAAGAAATTTTTCTTTGCAACACCTATTGTTCCTTTTTAAATTATCCCACCATTACTTCCTGAAATAATTATGAATCACATGCATGCATCCATTTAGTGCAACAAATCTATGAGAATTGAAAGACAAATTCAATCGTATACTAGCATAGTCCAGCAGCATTTTCGGTAACTGCAGTTTCACAATGGTGCTGCAATCTTGGGATTCAGGCACAACCCAAAGAAGATATATGTCATTTGCACACAATCATGCATGAACAACACACAAAAGAATCGTGTACAAAACTCATACCTATAATCGCACCATAGTGCATGTTGGCATAGGGCTCCTCACCAGTGAGAATTTCCCAAAGGACAATTCCAAAAGAGAACACGTCAACCTGTGATCAATTAGAGATTAGAAACTGATCATAAGGGACATTAAACAACAAGGACTACAAATGATGGGAAAAGAAAAGAAGGAAGAGAAAAAAACCCCTGCATGAACCAAGTTCCATATCTGTCAAATATAAGGCAGCATGTGCAGGACGAAATTTTTTAAACCTAAACCAGCTTAGAAACTTTTCACAAACTAGAAGAAACAAAATGTAGATATTCAGATAAAGTTTTCCACCACCAAATGCAACAAATGAATTGAAAATTCAGTCATGTCAGTTACAAATTTAGCCGAGGTGTAAATGGGACAAAAATCTATATCAACTCTACAACATTACAATCTTTTTCAGACAGTTAATTTCAAGATGGAAGCCTTTACCTTTTCTGAAACCTTATTACTGCTTCCATTTAGAAGCTCGGGGGCCATCCATGGTAGAGTTCCCCTTACACCTCCAGAAACCAAAGTATTTCGTTTGATTTTTGACAGGCCAAAATCACCAACCTGGAACATCCATTCATAAGAATGTTTTATAATAAGTACTCAATCATTCGATGCAATCAGTTTTTTTGTTCATACTACTAGAACTTACCTTGCAGATTGGTCGTTGGGGATCTTTCAAGTTTACAAGCAAGTTGTCACATTTCAAATCAAAATGTACAATATTCTTTGAATGCAGATATTCCATTCCAAAAGCAGCATCCATAGCGATGAGAAGTCTCTTGCGACGATCTAGATACCTGCAAGTTAATATTTAATGAAATAATAAACAGGAGAAGACAAAACAATCGACTGCCTGTGCATGAAATTGCAAATTAGCAGGCATATGCCAAACTGGAATTCAGAGAAATGCAAGAGTGCACAACATACCTATCCTTGCGAAGTAAAACATTTCTAAGAGAACCATCAACCATGTACTCTGTTACAGTAGCTAATGTCCCCCCATGTCCGTCTTGAACTACACCATAAAATGCAACAACATTTGGATGGTGGAGCTTTGAAAGGATGCCAGCTTCCCGCCAAAACTCCAAGGTCTGATGAAGCCAGTGAAAATAGATTATTTAACATCAAGCTAAGAAAGCATTTAAGAAGATAAAGGAAACTAGAAGCCAATGTACTTGTTGAATACTAATGAAGCCTTATTGAATTGGCCTCCTCTTTTTTCTATAAATCAATGACGGCTACGGGATAAAATTGGACATGTTGAAGATTCTGAAGTAATTAAGGCAGATTTAAAACTCATTTGTAGGGAGTAGAAACAGAAAGTCAGATATCCTTTCCTATAAATCAAAAACTATCAATAATACCTATTTATGTGTAGCTAATAGCTGTTCTAATATAGATATGTAGATGCTGTATATATTAAAGAATTCATTCCAAAATAAAGGGAGAAGTCAGAATTTAAAACTCTTCATATGGAATCAGAGCCTAAACCGAGCCGGTTTTTTTCCTAAGCCTATCTCTCTCTAAATCTAGGATTTCCCCTCCTCTCTTCCCATTTTTCCTGACAATTCTAGTCACTTGCTCTAGCAAACCTGTCTGGATAAAAAAAAAAACACGTCTGAAAACATTACAAAAGAAACCCAAATATCAGGGGAATTCCAGAGTTTACAATCATCCTACCGATTGAATGGAAGAAACTATCTAAAATGGTCACAGATAGTAAAACCCTTTCTCAAAGGAAAGGGAAAGATTAATCATTTGATGGACAATCCTCCTAGTCTAGAAGACCCAAAGTTTACACTTTGGGATGAAGACAACTCCATGATTATGTCATGGCAATGGAACTCTATTATGCCAAAAGTCTGTGGGCCTTATATGTTTCTAGTTACAGCAAAAGACATATAGGATGCAGTGAGACAGACCTACTCTAAAGTGAAGGATGCTGCGTCAATTTATAAAAATAAGACGAAGCTTTCAATGACCAAATAAGGTAATATCATGGTTATTGAATATTACAATACTATGAAAAATTTCTGGTTGGAATTGGACTATTATCAGGATTTTAGGATGCAGTGTAGTGATGATGCTGTGATTTTAAAGAATTATGTAGAAAGAGAAAGGATCTTTGAATTTCTTGCAGGATTCAACATAGAATTTGATCAAATACAAGTCCAAATACTTGGAAAGGAATCTCTGTCCTCACTCAATGAGGTATTCTCAGTAACAAAGGCTGAAGAAGGAAGGAGAATTGTGATGCTTGAGATCCCAAATACTAAAGATTCTGCTATGATGATAACTAATAGCAGAAACAAAAATGATGCCATGAATGGTGCAAAAGTGGTGAAGACTGAAGGGAGAAAATTCTTTAAAGATGATCAATTTTATAACTATTGCAAGAAAACAGGTCTTACAAAGGAGACCTGCTGGAAATTCCATGGAAAAACACCAAGGATGGGATGTAATGGAGGATACAAATGGAACCATTTAAGAGGACATGCACTCTTAACAAATTCAGAAGAGGCAGCACATAAGTCCAGCACCCTAGAGGTGAGAGGATTCAACAAAGATGAGATTGAACGCCAAAGAACCTTACTCAATACAATGGAGAAACCATCTGGATCATGCTCTCTTGCTCAAAATGGTAAAATTCCAATTTCTCATGTCTTTAGTGCCTCAAACAAGAACCATTACAGCATCTGGGTCATTGACTCAAGTGCAATAGACCATAAGACTTATTTCGCAAGTGCCTTCACATCATATCAACCCTATCTTACGAGTAAGAAAATCACAGTGGCTGATGAATCTCTAACCACAGTTGCACGCCAGGGAACAATCCCTCTTAATCCTGTATTTACTCTTAAAGGAGCATTACATGTTCCCAATCTTATTGCAAATCTGTTGTCTATCTAAAAACTAATTAAAGACAAATTGTAGTGTAACTTTCTTCCTTGTTCACTGCATATTTCAAGACCTAGCTACAAGGAGGACAACTGGACAAGCTAGAGTCAAGGATGGGTTGTACATGCTTGGAGTGCAAAGCAGCAGTAGTAACTCCCCTTCTCTATCATTCATTTAAGTTAATTCTAATAAAACTCCCCTTCTCTATCATTCATTTAAGTTTATTCTAATAAAACTCCCCTTCTCTATCATTCATTTAAGTTAATTCTAATAAAACTCCCCTTCTCTATCATTCATTTCAGTTAATTCTAATAAAAATGATGTTTGGAATCATCATCATCGTTTAGGACATCTATCATTTAAGACTCTTGTGAACATGTTTCCATCTTTATTTAAAAATCTTGATGTTGAACAATTTCATTGTGCAATCTATGAATTTCCAAAGTAGTATAGAGTGTCTTTTCCTATAAGTGATTCAAGATTTGAGTCTCCATGTACTATAATTCACTCGGATATATGGGGTCCATATAACATTCCTAATATTTCAGGAGCAAAAGGTTTTGTAACATTTATTAATGATTGCACCCGAATGACTTAGGTTTACCTTTTTTAAAACAAATCTAATGTGAGTCATATCCTTCCAAACTTTACAAACATGATAAGGAATCAATTTGGGGTTAGCATTAAGGGTTTTAGAACTGATAATGCTAGGGACTCCTTTAATCAGATTTTAAAACCAAAGCAAGGTAATGAACTTTCTCATTCATCTTTAATTATTCCTGACCTTAATCAGCCAATTGTTATTAGAAAAGGAAGAAGAGAATGCACTAAGAATCTCTTATATCCTATAACTAATTTTATGTCATTTCAAAAGTTCTCACCATCACACAAAGCCTTTCTCTCAAAAATAAACACCATACCTATCCCGAAAACATTACATAAGGCTTTACGAAATGAGAATTGAAAAACCAACTACCATGAGAGAAGAGATGAATGCACTAGAGAGGAATCAAACATGGGAAATAGTTGAGTTACCAAAAGAGAAGAAAACAGTAGGGTGTAAGTGGGTTTATGCCCTGAAATATAAAGCTGATGGCAGCCTAGAAAGGTATAAAGCCAGGCTAGTTGCAAAAGAATTTACACAAACATTTAGGATAGACTATCAAGAGACATTTGCTCCAATTGCTAAGATGAACACCATTCAAATTCTGTTTCTTTATCTACTAATCTTGGATGGTGTATGCAGCAAAATGATGTTAAGAGTGCCTTCTTACATGGAGAATTGAAAGAAGAGGTTTATATGGATCCACCACCAGGATTCAATCACTCCCTTCTTCCCAACCAGGTTTGCAGACTAAAAAAGGCACTCTATGGCTTAAAACAGTCTCCTAGAGCCTAGTTTGAAAGGTTCACCAAAGCCATGGTTTCTATAGGATATCAGCAAAACCTAGAAGATCATACTTTGTTCATCAAAGATTCCATTTCAGGGGGGGTTACTATTCTGATTGTTTATGTTGATGACATTATAATAACAGGTGATAACTTTGTGGAAAGAGATAAGTTGAGAAAGATACTTTCAACAGAATTTGAAATCAAGGAATTGGGGAAGTTGAAATACTTTCTTCGCATAGAAGTGGCACATTCAGAAACGGGGATTTTTATCTCTCAACAAAAGTATATTCTTGACCTTCTAAAGGAAACAGGAATGACAGACTGCAATGAAACACCTATTGATCTAAAGCACAAACTTGAGAATGATGCGGAAGGAGCCACAACTGACAAGGGTCAATATCAAATGTTAGTTGGTAAGTTGATCCATTTAGCTCACACTCGTCCAAACATTGCTTATGCCATGAGTGTGGTGAGTCAATTTATGCACAACCTGAAAGAGTCACATCTCCAGGCAGTGTATAGACTCCTTAGATACTTGAAGTCTACTTCTGGAAAAGGAATTTTGTGTAAAAATCATGGGACTCTAAATTTTGAATGCTATACAGATACAGACTATGCTGGTATATTAACAGATAGAAGATCAACATCAGGTTATTGTACTCTGTTGGGAGGAAATCTTGTGACATGGAGAAGCAAAAAATAGAATGTTGTGTCAAGATCAAGTGCAGAAGCATAATTCAAATCAATGACACTAGGAATTTGTGAGTTACTATGGATGAAGATTATCCTAGAAGATTTAAGAATCAAGTGGGATGAATCAATGAAGTTGTACTGTGACAATAAAGCTACCACTGCAATAGAACACAATCCAGTGCAACATGATAGAACAAAACATATGGAAGTACACAAACATTTCATCAAAGAAAAGTTAGAAAGTGGATTGATATGCACTCCTTATATGCCTACCGGGAAACAACTTGCTGATATACTTACTAAAGGTGTTTAGAATCCTATGTTCAAAAACATTTTGGACAAGCTGGGAATGAAAGATCTCTTCCATCCAGCTTGAGAGGGAGTGTTGAAGATTCTTTAGTAATTAAGGCAGATTTAAAGCTGATTTGTGGGGAGTAAAAACAGAAAATCAGATATCTTTCTTATAAATCAGAAACTAGCAATAATACCTATTGATGTGTAGTTAATAGCTGTCCTAATATAGATCTGTAGATGCTGTATATATTCAAGAATTCATTCTGAAATAAAAGAAGATGTCAGAATTTAAGAACTCTCCATAGCACACAATTATTTTTAGGAAAAAAATTGAAAATGCATATCAAGAGTTGAGCAAAAGTTACCAGTCTCTCTTGCTCTGACGATCGACCTGTGAAACAGATCTTCTTTAGCCTCTTAATGGCAACATCAGTGCCCCTCCACTTTCCATGATACACAGTTCCAAAAGTGCCAGAACCCAATTCTCTCTGCTCTTCAAGATCTTCATTTTTTATTACCTGATATATCACCCGAAAAAGAGTAAAAAAGAATAAAATGGATGTTATTTTCAGGAAAAAAGTAAATTGAACTAATCTTAAAGCACAAGATGGAAGGTAGAAGCATGCGAAAGGAACACTAAATCCATATGTTCCTGCATGGTCGTCATATATGCATCACAAATGTAGAAAGGAGAGAAGGAAACTAATCAGAAAGCACATTGTACCCTCTCTCTAGGTTTGGTTACTTGTCATATTGTATTATAGATTGAATATTTTAAGCATGCGTGAGTAGAATTTCTTTCAAACACTAAAAACAGGACAGACAAACTTTGCATCATAATAAAGATGGGTAAATGTAACCAGTGCATACCTGCAAGGTATTGATATCAAAATCTCCCAGAGAAGGATCGCAAGGAGGAAGGCCATCATTCTTGTTATCCAACTTCCCATCCTATGAGCATCAGAGTGAAGTTCGGTTGGCATGCTAGGAAACAAGTTCTCAAATCAAATTACAATTGAGAAGACATACCTCATACTGTGAACCTGGAGACTGTAGGTTCTCCATCATAGCCTCAAACTGCATACTTTCCGTCTCCTTCAATTCAGAATGATCAAAATCAGACATCATTGTAGAATCAGCTCCTACCATTCCAGGTAAATTATTCTGATTGTCTTGGCCAAAAATAATTTGGGAATAATGACGGCCCACTGAATCTCCACCTTCTGCCAAATGTGTGAAATGATAAGATTTATGATCTATATTTGTAAGCAGAGATGAAGCAGTTAGATGATCCTGGTCAATAAGAGAAACATCTTTTTGAACAAACTCTTCCTTTGCCAGCTTCTGAAAATATGACCAGTGCTTTGGCTCATGATTTTCCATGTTTACACTCACACCAGCACCATCACTGTGTAGTGGAATAAGACCAGGGGTTTCCTCAGTAAATATCCCTTTTGAAAATATTTCAGAAATGAAATCACGAGGGAATCTATCATTTATATCGATTTGGATTTCTGCCTGCTTGGTGGCTGAAACAGTGACAGGGGGTATTCCTTCTGCAACAACTTTAGCTGAGCTATCTGTCCAAGAAAATGGCAGAAAATGTCCCAGACTGTCCTTATCAGAGACATCCCTGACTGTCATCTCATTCAAGTCATCTGGAACATCAGCTGTAGGATCCTTATGCTGCACAACACAAGTTATTTGGTGGACAGCCAGATGTCCAGATCCCACTTCTCCCTTTACATCAGCTGGGAGTTTCCTATGATTACCAGTGACCAAATCTGTCTCAAAGTCTTCCTTGAGAATCCTATCCCTGTTTGCAGAATCATTTTCATCAACATTCTTAGCAACTGCCTGCTTGAACCCAAAATCTGACACCTGTTCAGAATCAGGGAGCTTGTTATTCATCTGAGAACTGGCATCAGAAAGCTCTCTATGTTGTTGAAATTGAGCAACTCCATCATCTATGATTTGAGAGTCTGCACATGATGGTTTTGCAGTTGAAATGAAGTGTTCAGTTCGGGCAACCAAATTATTCTCATGCAAATTTTCCACTGATTCCAAAACTGGATTGTTCTCAGTGATGCCTGGATGTGAATGAGAAATGAGCAACTGAGAGCCAAGTGAATCATCAGACTTGGATAATCTGTTCAGTAACTCTGCTTGACCCCGGGGTATTCTCTCCGAATAATAAACCCTCTGAGGAGGTATTGATGGCTCAAGATAGCTCATGTCAACTGGATTTGAAGTAGAATCAGCATTTCCTGGACCAGATGCACCACTGGGTGTGGAGTGTTGATCATCTTCATGAGATTTAGGAACCTGCACTTGATTCACATCGTCAACAAAAGAAGAAACCTTCCTTGGTTCTTGGTGTTTCCCCTCATATTTTGATGGTATGGTACTTAGATCTCCTTCTGGCACAGCAGCTGGTACTGGTACTTCATCAACTGGAGCAGGGTAAATATTCTCTATTGCATGAGTTTTTCCCAAGTCAATCTTTTGCTGAACTAAACCAGCAGGTTTTGGATTCACCTCCTTTCCTGGCATCTGCGAATTCTTTTTCTGAAAGCTAATACATTGATGTCCTTCGTAAAAACCTGCTTCTTCATTCATATGCCCTTCAAGTTGCCTTGAATAAGGGATTTCTCCGAGAGGAGAGCTGTTAGAGGAATGATGGTGATAGTGCAATGGGAAATGCTTAGTGTCTCTATGATCCATCATCTGGTCATGATAAAATTGTGGATAGGTCTCGTAGGCATTGGAGGAACTTTGAAGAGTAGGCTGAGAAGAGTGGTAAGTGCCAACCAAAGGTGAAGCACTGACCCCAGCAGATGCAACACTGGTCGTCTCCCTGTCAATGTTTCCTGAAGAGCTTGCCAAACCATGCAGGGCTGATCCTCTTCTGCATCCCATGTCCATGCCATTGACAGCAACTACATACTGAATCTCAGAATCACCCTCTGCACTGCCCAGGCCCAGTTGAGCATCTTCCAAATCACTCATTGAAAACAGAAACAATCTGAGTTTTTGTGATCCTTCTCTATCTTCAATTTAACTCCATTCATCCATCAAATTCAGCAGATCCTCTTCACATGAAACAGAAACCAAGGCATCAAGATCTTCACCAGGAAGCTGATATTTTATGACACGAGCTTCGTAATATATTGCTAAAGCTTTCTGCTTAAAGTCATGCCAAGAAATGTCCCTTGCAATACACATAATGCGCTTTTCACCTCCAACATACCTCAGCTGTCCATCACTTGGCCGTGGTAGGATTTTACCACCAAAGCTGCAGAGAACTTTCATTTTCCCAGAGAAGCTATCGGAGGCTCCAGAGGAGGCATAGCCATGCAGAGCTCCATGGCTTTCATAACCAGATAAAGTTCTTGGTGCCAACTGAATTGATCCATTGTTGCTTCTCTCTTCATGTAAAGATGAGTCCATCCTCTCAAAGTCCTTTTGACCTCTCTCTACCATGGTTAGCATCGAAATATCTGAACCACTTTCAGACCCTGTATGACTAATGCCTAAAATACCTTTTAGTTCCAGATAACCAGTCACATAGTTGGGATCTCCAATAGCATTTGGAATGAGAGGCTTCTTAGGAATGACCCGATCACGCATAAATTCGAGAGCAAACTCCTCACCTGTCTGAATGGAATAGTTACGTACAGGTTTAACTTCTGGTGGTGGTACATTTAGGTCAGGAACTCTTGTATTGGAATTCCTGCTACTTGAAGGGTCTGAGGTATATGCCTGAGAAGTAGGCTCGGATATCTCATCTCTCGGATCCCCATAATTGTATTGATGTTGTTTATATATATCTGACTCTTCCATCACAACATTATTTAAACACTTCTCAACTTGACTCGAATCAAGCGGATTAAACCCAATGCCATCACCAAATACTCACAAAATCAGTCCATCAACTACATATCAGCACACAAACTTCGCTCACAACAAGGTTTATGATCACAATGATTTGCTAAATTTCCTGAAAAAAAGAACAGCAAACACATGCAAACGCGTCAAGAACCCTCAGATCTTCAGAAAAATGATACATTACAAGTAATAGAACAGAAATCCACACAGCAAGGCAAACAAAACAATTTTCAAACTGGGACTCATTCAAATCACATGCAGTCATCAAATATTATCAAAGTTAGGAGAATCCAACTGAACTTCAAACATAGATAAACACAATAAAACCTCCAAAAAGTTGCAGATAGAAGTGGTTACAAAGTAACCCATCCAGACTCAAAATTCAACCACCACCTCATAAAGTTAGAAACTACACAAACTTAAAGTGGTGATATGATATATCAGCATAAATTAACTATCCAAATTCCCAATAAAAAAAAATTCTAAATTAATTATCGACTAGCTCAAAATCTAACAAAAAAAAGAACAATTAAATAATTCACAAAAAAAACCCAAAACTTTATTTCTCTCAGATCAACAAGTAAAACCCAAAAAGAAATAATTAAAAAGAAAAGAAAAGAGCTTGCCTTATAACATAAATACCTGAAATATAAGGAGAAAGGGTCTCTAACTTAAAGCTTTGGCTTTTGCTTCAAGAGGGAGTGAGTCAAGGGTCTCTCTGCAAGAAAATAATTTTTATTTTTTAAAATTTAATTTTAATATCAACTGTCTAAAATAAAAAAAAATAAAAATATTTTTTTAACACTAAAACAAACATTTCCCTCCCCCCCCTCCCTGTTCTGGTCGGCCAGCTTCCGGGCACGTTGCGTATATTTCAGGATTCACATTTTGCTTCAGAAGCTTTTGATTACCTTTGAAGGAAAGAAGTGGGGAGTTCGATGGAAACATGAAAATCAAAGAAAGATACACGGAGAGATTTGGCTTTGACCTTAGAGTTTTAGAATCTTTTAGTTTAATCAAAGATTAATTATGTCATAATTTAATTCCGAAATACCACCTAAAGTCTTATAGTGCTTCTATACCTGGGCTACATATGGTCGGTCCATATCTATTACATAAGTATACATACAAGCCTAGTATTATTATACGACATAAACTCGTCAAAACTAGTGATGCATGGGGGTAAGATTACGTTTCAGAGCCGATTTAAGATGAATAAGAATCTTGATAAAACTACAAATAAGATTTTTTTCAAATATATATATATATATATATGTCTAACAAGTGGAGCCTTGAATAATTTTAATTTTATATTTGGAGTCTTTTGTTAAGTGAAAACAATTTTTATTTTATAAAGCATGATTAACAAATATATCTTATTTATTGTTAAAGTATTTTATTAGCATTAAATTATTTTTAAGTGACCTTTAACTTAAGCCGGCTCTACTTGACTTTCCTTGTCTCATGGAATTTGACCATGATGCTAAAGATTTAAACAAAATGAGGTCGGCTCCAATCCCTCTCATAGCCGAATTCAATGAGACGTGTTCACGTTTATTTGAATACAATAAAATACCTTTTATACATGGAAGTATTTGTTGGATTAATGAATTTAATAAAAATTATAAATAAATGTCGAAACAAAGTTTTCTGGAAGTAACTTTCTGTGGCAGTGTTTGGTGTGAGTTTTAGAGTTGTTGCCTTCCTCTGAAAAATAACTTGAAGTAAATTTCCTTGAAAAACATGTGAAGGCTAAATTGCCTCCCTCTTTATTTTGCTATCTCTCTAGAGGCTTCCTCTCTTTCTAAAATTAGATAATATAAGTAAATTTAACTTAATAGTTTAAATTTTTATATTAAATTAATTTTTTAATATGATATTAAAATTTTAATAATTAAGTAATCACGAGTTTAAATCTTATCATTTCTATTGATTTAATAAAAAATAAATATAAGATAATGTTATTTTATACAAATTTCAAGTTTAAAAAATTTTTATTTAATAAAAAATAATATAAATCATATCTTGAAATCTAATTTAATAATTTAAATTTTTAAATTAAATTAATTTTTTAACTCTTGAAAAATTCACACTCCAATTTAAGAGAATGAAAGTTAACATTGACCAAAACTATGCTATTTTGCATAATGAAGAGTGCACCAAATTTGCATTATTTTAGATAATTGTTTATAAAGTGAACGTTATATATATTGTTCTATAAGGTAAATGGTTACATTTGTTCTTATTAAGTGTTTTTATTCAAATTGGCAATATTATTTTTTTCATTTAAGAAAAAATAAGGATCGGTAGAAAAAGTTTTCACAATTGCTAAAAAACATTTTAATAGATAAAAAAATTCAAAATTACTTAAACAGAAACTAAGATACTCAATTGATTAAATATTGTGAGTGCAAGTGCTTAAATAGAAAAACAATAAAAGTTTAGGCATATAAAGAAAAATAATAATAAATTACAAGTATTTCATGTGCCATTATTCTAAAAAAAAATATGTATTAAATTAATTTCAACCCCAATTTACTTGATAGAAAGTTAATTATCATATCAACATTCTAATAACAAAACAGACGGAGGTACATGATCGATTAAATTTCATAAATATAAGTATTTAAATAGAAAAACAAGGCATGCATGTATTTAAATATATAAAAATTATAAAATAAAAATACTTTGTATACCATTACTTCTAAGTATTTCAAGGGGATGAAAAAAGCCTGAAGAAAAAGAAGTGTACATATACACGAAGCTACCCATTGCCAAAGACCTTAGCAATATGTGTGGATATAAAAATCTTGACTCTCGATCCAAAGTAATTGTTATAATTTAAACATTGAAATTTTTTTCGAAGGCTTCCCTTTGATCATGCACCACTAGGAGAAATAGCATTCAGTTGAAGAATCATCCGTGATATATTGCGGGCGAAGTTAATTATTTTCAGTGGAAAAAAATAAATTATTAATCCCGTGAAAATAATATTTAATTAAATAAAATTTTAAGATGATATATTTTTAATATTAAAATAATAATATATTGAATTGATCCAGAATAACTCAAGTTAATGTATTAAATTTTTTACTCGAGTTATAAGACTATGATAACTCCATAGAAAACAAATTAATAAATTATAAAATTTAATTCTCAATCAATAAAATATAAAAAAAAATTAAAAAAATCAATTAAAAATAAATCTAAAAACATTTCAAACTTGCTATCTGGCTTATAAGATCAAGATAGCCCATAAAAAAAAATTAAAATAAATTATAAATTTTAATTTTTAATTTTTAATCAGTCTTATATTAAAGAATGAGATTAAAAAATTAAAAAACAACACAAAAAAATGAATCAATCCACCAAACTATTATCTGGATCATCAAACAAAGATGAACTTATATAAAATTAAAAAAATATCTAATTTAATCTAGATTAATTTGTCAAATTCATAACTTTAGTCTTGAAAATTAGAAAACCCCATAGATAAAAAAATAAAAAAAATTATAAAATTTGATTTTCAATCACCCCTGTCGAACTAATGTTGAATAATAAAATTTATAAAAAATTTAATAAAAAAATAAGATAATTCAACTTGAGTTAACCATTAAACACTATTCTAAGTTATAAGAGTAGGATAATTTAATAAAAAAATAAACTAAAACAAATTATGGATCCTAATTCCCAATCAAACATAATATTAATTGATGAGATTGCAAAAAAAAATCAATAAAAGAGAAAGAGAGAGAAATTGAGTCAATTAAGTTAACCCGTCAAATTTAAAACCTGAGTCAAGAGACATAAATAATCCAATAAAAAGCAAACCCAATATTGAAGGTCTTATTATGATCTGAGTTATGAGACTAATATAAACTCTTAGAAATAATAAAAAAAAAACAATTTGATTTAGCCAAGGTTAAAATGTTAAAATTTGTGACCTTGATAATGCGATCAAGATAATATCATAAAAGGCATATCAAAACAAAATTTAAAACTTAATTATTAACAAATCTAATTTTGAATGATAACATTAAAAAAATTAGTTAAATAAAAAACAAAAAAAATAACCTGAAACAACTCGGGTTGACTCAAGTTGCACTATTTTTAGGTTATGAGATCAGATAACCTAATAAAAAGTAAACAAAATAAATAATAAAATTTAATTCTCAATCAAATCAATATTAAAGGATGAAATTAAAAAAATTAAGTCAATCAAGTTAACCTGTTAAGCCTGAAATCCATATAATAAAAATGTGATAACTAAATAGAAAAAATATCTAATATTAAAAAAATTTAAAAAATTAATTGAAAAAAATAAAAAAAGAAACTAAAATGAGCAAAGTTAAACAATATCCTAATAAATAATATTTAATAAAAAAGATATGATAAAACTCTATTTAACCCTATTTTCTTTTAGTTTATAATTAATTAGTCATGATACATGCATTTCCTTACAGCAAAAAACAACTTTAACACAAAACAAATGCACGAGTTATCCATTTATTTTTATCATAATTTTTTTTATTATGAATTGAAAAATTTAATGCTTGTATTTACTAATATGTATATATATATATATTAAAAACTTAATTGATTATAATCAAAGATTATGTAGATGAATATTAATACATGATGCATGAAGGTTTTCGAATTCTTTTATTTACTTATACAATAATGAAATTGCGAAAACTAATTTGTGGGTAAAATCACAAATAAGCGATAATAGCTAAAAACGATCGCGATGGGACTCGAACCCACAATCTCCCGCTCCGGAGGCGAGCGCCTTATCCATTAGGCCACGCGATCGTATTGAGGGATTACGGGGATACTTAATGATTTTGAATATACACGGCATGATTAATTATATAATGCTCTTCCGTGCTTGCGGAGGTAGAAAATTGAATGCGAAATTACACGTAATAAAAGGACACATAAATTTCCATTTTTTCTCATATACATTAAATAAAAAACTAAAGGAGATTAGTGAAATACTATGAACGCATATTCATTGCAATATAAATTGAAATAATGTAATGGTAATTTTACCCTTTTAAAAACATCATTAAACTAGCCATTAGAGGTAATACATTTTTTTTTTTTTGAATAATTATCATAAGATTGATTACGGATCAGTTAGTCTTTTTATATTTTTACAACACAATAAAATAACTAAATTATCATTGAAAGTAAAATTTATTTAACCAATAACTAGAGGTTTTTTTGAGTTTTTACTTTTAAAAAACATAATAAAATAATTAAATTACTCTTAAAAGTAAAATTTATTTAACAGATATTCAAAGGCTTTTTTTAGTTAAAATTAAATTTGAATGAAGAATAATTTGATATTTTTTCAAATTATCTTCATCAATTATGAAATTTTAGTGTCTTCAGCCATGTTTGTCCAAAAAATATGACTTTGATAATTTTAATGATTATAAATTATTACTTTTAAAGATGAGAATTGTAAAACAAGAAATTGTGAGATATTTTTATTGAATCTGAACTGAAACAACTGAAATAGAAAGTATTAAATTTGAAACAACAAAATTTAAAAAAAAACAAATTGAGATAATAAATCCTAAACTAAATTTTTTGGATAGATTCAAGGTAGCTCAGGCCTTTTGGTGAATGTGATTTGCTTTAAAGCAATCTTTCTCCCTCTATGCTAATCCTTCCCTCTTGTTTATTAACTAAATCTTAGAATTTAAATTTGAATTCAT